AAAAAAAAAAAAAAAAATTATTGGGCGAAACAAAAGTAGAAACATTTTGTATTCAATTTTTGCTTCACTTTTTCAACCAAACAAAGAAGAAAGCGGTGAATCGACCGTGACCGGTCACGACACCAACATTTTCATCCACCAAAAACATGTACACTAAATTATAATATTTTCTTTCATACAAAAAAAAAAAATAATTCGATTAATAATAATAAAAATTGACCTAATTAAAAAATAAAATAAAAATAAAATTAAATAGAATTCGGAACTTACTTGTTGCCGAGCAAGCTATGTAGCTTGATGATAAGCTCGTCTTCCTCTTCCGTGAAGTTCCCCCTTTTGAGATCTGGCCGGAGATAGTTGATCCACCGGAGCCGGCAGCTTTTGCCGCACCGGAGAAGCCCCGCCGCCTTGGGAAGCGACCGCCAGCAGCCCTCGCCGTGCGCCCTTATGTAGGCTATCAGCCGGTCGTCTTCTTCCTTGGTCCACGCGCCCTTGTTCGTGTGAGCTTTCTCACAGCAAGGCGACCTCCCCATACCCAACAATTTATTATGAATTTAATTAATTTTTTTTTTTTTTATTGGAGTGATTTTATTTTATTTAATTTAATTTTTTTCCGAAAAATTTTGGGAGGATTTTTGTTGGTGCTTGGAATTCAATCCGAAGGGGCAATAGTTGTATAAAGGGGCCTTTGGTGTGGGGTTATATACAAAGCAAAAGTTTTTGACTCTAATTACTGTGTGTGGGAGTGTGTGTTTTTAGAGAGAGAAAGGATGGGATATAATTGCTTCTAGATGCGAGTTGGTGAGATAGGTATGAGATTCATTTTTATGCTAACAGCTTTAATTATCATTTAAGTCATGGAAGTTAAAAAAAAAAGTGTCATTTTGTACCCAAAAAAAAAAAAAAGTGTGATGTGTTAGTGTATCATTATAGCACAATTAGGGTGTAAACTAGTCCAGTCGAGTCGATCTCGAGCTATTTTGATATTTGAGTTTTGGTCGGAACATTTATCGAGCCGATAAACAAGTTCGAGCTCGACTCTTTTATGAGGAGCTGAACACGAACTGATCTATTGAAAGTTATATAATAATTCTCATTTATGAGCTTTAATTAATCGAATCGAGTCAGTTCAACTTGCTAACTGAACGAGTTTGAGCTCGCTACATTAGACTGGATTCGACCTTAACTAGCCAAGGAAAATCAAACTCACGAACGACTCATTTGGTAATGGGTCTAATTGTCGCTAGAGTAAGTATGATAGGCATATCTATGGTTTGTAGTGCTGTTAAATGAAACGAGTCCAACTCAGTTAGGCTCAAGCTCCGCTCGTTAAAGCTCGAGCTCGAGACGAACTCAAGATCATTTAAAACTCGTTTGATTAACGGGCCGCATTCGACTCGTTAAGGCTCGCAAAGATAATTTTTTTGTAGTTTGACTCGTTAAAGCTCGGGATCGACTCGTTAAGACTCGAACTCGATCGACTCATTAATGGTGGTATATGAGCCGAGCTGAGCTCGAGCTCAATTTTCTGCTCGTTTATTTAACAAGCCGATCTCAGCTCGACTCGTTTACACGCCTATATGTTTGGTACTCATCTATGTTTTTCAACTTTACATACTTTTAAATTAAAATGTCATACTTTATAAAATTATATAAAGTAAGTATAAGTTATAACATTTTATCTTATACATATGTCTTTCTTTTTATGTAAGTACGACGAATCGATTCGCCTAACAATTGGTGTATAAGAATTTGTGTAGTAGAAGGAGGTGTGATAATTAAATTACAAGAAAGAACAAAAGTGTGAATTTTATCTCTTCATGATACCACCACACTTTAACCTTTTTATCCAACTAGGGACCATAAATGAGTTGTTTGTATGAAAATCAGTTGACCATGCCAAAATCTCTCTCCCCTTTGCCTGCACACTCGGCAGATTATAATAAATGTACCATAATTGAATATGGGACAGTGAAAATATTACTATTACATTTAAAAAATATTTGAAAATTAAGTATTGAGTTTGGTGGTACATATAATAATTCATACAAGAGATTGTTGGATCATCATCGAGTTTTTTCTGAAAGTACTTTCCTTTTCAACTTTCACTAGTACAATAGCTGTATATTATACGGGTGCTTGTTAAAAAATTATTCTTAAATTTTAAAATTAATGAGAAAAAGTAATTTAAATTTTATTTATTTTTTTCACAAAAAATATAATAATATTATTATGTATTTCAAAATAACACTTGTTATTTATGCGACTTACATGTGTTATATTATAGTAATTTTTATAACTTATATCATATAACTACTTGAAATATAAATAATATTATTTTTCTAATTGCTTTTAAAAAATTATTAATGTCATAAAGATAAATAAAATTTATTTTTTTGATGTTAAAGCGAAGCTTGTCAAGAGATGGTTAATTTGATATATTATATATGTAAACTGATAAAAAATACAAAAGTTATTAACTTTGAAAATACATTTACAATTCAATGATTATAATAAAAAATGATATTAAAATGAAATTAATACATGTAACATGACCATAAATAATCAACATGTTTATATAAGTAAATTGAGATCTCCCTAAGCCTAATAACGAAACATGTAATTTTGCCACATAAGATCCCGAAACATGAGAGTTTGTCACTTAGACTCAGCACGTTCGTAATTAATATATAGGGGATTTGCAAAAACAGTATAGTTACCTTTTAATTTTCTTTTATAAAACCACCACTACTACATATTGCAATGGTTAAAATGCTTCATCATATGCACATGCACAGATGCAAATAAAATATTATTTAAAATTGTAAGTTATATAATGAGTACACATTTTATAATTATTAGAAATTAGCATTATAATTATAAGAAAAAATTGACACCATCCAAAAATGGGACCTATCAAAATAAATTGTGTAATTAATTTTTTGTTATTATACTAGCATTATATTTGTATATCAAGAAATAAAAAGACGTTACAGAAATTGACACCATCCAAGATGAGACCTATCAAAATAAATCGTGTAACTGAAGGTTACATATTTTTATTAAATGGTAAACATATTTTTATTAAATGAACACCTATTATTATTAAATAAACTAATATTATTATTAATTGTTGGTTGCCATCAATTATATATATATATATATATAGATTGTGTATATATTGGCTTGGTCCGTGCAATTATAAATAAAATTATATGTGGCATCATTGTAAACCATTCAACCATGCACATGCTACGTACCTAATTTCGGGGATGGTACAACTCTATCTTTAACTTCTGCATATATTTTTCATATCATATGTTATGAAAATAATAAATTAGGTATTTAATTTCATGTTTGTTTTCCAA